CTCCTCTCACCTTCCACACCAGCCCCCCCCCCCCACTCCACGCTCCCCCCCCCCCCTTACTCCCCCCCTTAAACCCACCCCCCCCCCCCAAATTTTCCCTGCATCTCTATCTCCTCGATTCCTCCCATTCATAAATGTGCTGACTTGTTTTAGTGTCAATATTTTTGACACCACTTAAAAATGATAAGTTATGTGAATATATAGGAGAATGTTCTGAAAATCCTACATTGAGATGTTAGTGAGAAAACCCTGCTGCAAATTACTGGAGCGCAGAGGAGATTAATGTCAAACTTCAGAGAATGTAATATCTCTGTACCATGATTAAAGAAGATGGTTATTGGAGGGAGAAGATTGATGGGAAGGTTAAGAGAGTTAAGTACTTGGTGTAGAAAGAATGGACTGGATGCAATTGATCTGTGTGGAATGTGAGAGGAGCACAGGATCCATGGCAGTCAACCTGGACCAACAAACAAAAGTGATACCATTATAAATAGGATCATCTAAATCAGCACAAGGCTGTTCAGTTCCCAATTATAGGGATAGTGTGGGAAAACCATGATCTGGAATATTTGATTCAGCTCAAAGGCTGAAAGGCCTACTCCTCTGATAATCTCCCTGCAGTCCTACAGATGTTTTTTTTGTACGACTCACTGGTCTGACTCATCAGCTGTCAGCTGATATTTTGTAATTCTGATGTGGGTGGGGATGTGCTGTTTTGCCTCTCGCCTCTTGTGGAGCTCAAGCCATAAAAAGTTTCTTCTGTTATGAAAGCTACTGTGATAAAATTGAAATCTCTTCAAACTGATTTCATTTTGCTTACTTTTTGATTTTATTTAATATATTGCAGTATTTGGTTAATTTACAAAGAGAAGTATTGGCTTTTGCTGTAGGTGTGATTTGTTCCTTCTATTTAACACTGGTCTACACCTCAGGGAAGAATGATCTGAGCATTGTAGGGTATACTTTAAAAATTAGAGAGATGCCTCTAGTCATAGTCACCATGACCTTAGGTGGAGGAGCCTTATCTGCTTTTAAAATGCAGTGCAAGCTTTCTGTTAATATGGTTGATGATGCCATCCAAGACCCAGAATAGGAAGCTCAGACTGAATTAAACCTACATTTTAATAACACTTTCGTGAAGTTGAGACTTCCCAAGATGGAGGTCAGAATCACAAATGGGATGATGCTAAGGCAACAATGTGATTTTCTGAGATAGTAGGAACTGCAGATGCTGAAGAATCTGAGATAACAAGGGTGTAGAGCTGGATGAACACAGCAGGCCAAGCAGCATCAGAGGAGCAGGAAGGCTGACGTTTCGGGCCTAGACCCAACTCTACATAAGGTGAATTTCTGACTGAGTTGTACTGATACTCCTGTATAACAGCTTTACACACTCTCTTACACAAGCGTACGTAAAAAAAAATCCGCACTGTCTTGTCACTGAGGGATCATCGTTTTTAAGCTTCAGAGTAGGGTCACAGCGGGAAAGGCTTAGGAAGCACTTGCCATAAGTCATGATATGAAAGATAGAAACAACCTGATGCCAGTGACCTTTATAATAACCTGTAACTTAGTGAAGATTAATGCTGGAAAGTTGTAAAAGGGCATTTGTTTCAATATGCACAAAGATTCGTATATTGCCATAGAAGAAGAAATAATCTTTGATTGTCATCCTGTATGTCTTCACTCATGTGGAGCAATAAGTTTTTTTAGTCACCCTGAAAGCTGGAAAACCAGAGAATTTTCAGAAAAGCCTTTCTGTTTTAGAAAAAAAAGCTTCAGGTCAGTAAACTCTTACAATGCCTTATCTGTGCAATGCTCCACAAGCCACCACACTCTTGACAGTGCATCCAGTAAGCAACAGAAAGTTAAGTGCAAATTGTTTTTAAATATGAGCCAACATACGCTTGTGCTAGAGCTTCTCTCCCAAAATCTCAATCACTATAGCTAAAGACAGGATTATGTCAAAATTGCAGCAGAAAAACAAGCTCATAACCGTGCATGGTGCATTAAAACAAATCACTTAACTGTGCTATGGATCACAATAAGTATCCTGAGAAACCAGGATTGCTCCCTTTGTGTCATTGTGATTGAGATTCTCTCTCTCTGAACTGCTTTTGATGTTGTTCACAGTGTCCTTGGGTGTCAGTACCTTCCACTGTAACTCCCTGCTCCCTTTCTGATGTAATGAGTGAAGAGCTTGCCAAAGAACTGCAGCAACAAGAGGAGAGTGCAGCATTCCCTCATGCCATTAGGTATGTGACAGTTTTTAAAAAAATGCTAATGTTGGGAGTGGGGTGAGAAGGAGAGAATGTAGTTTGGTTCAGGGCTTCATTACTGTTGGCTAAATGAGATCCTGTGCAACTGTGATCATAGCGAAATTGAAAATACTTGACCTCGTCCTTACCAACCTGCCGACTGCAGATGCATTTGCCCTTGACAGAATTGATAAGAGTGACCAATAACACCACACAGTCATTGTGAGATGAAATCTTGCATTGAAGCTACCAAACAGGACTACTTGCATGCTAAACAGCATGAGCAGCAAGTGATAAAGATAAGTGATCCCACAGCCAATGGATCAGATTTAGGTTCTGCAGTCCTGCCACGCCCAGTCATGAATGGTGGTGGACAATTAAACAACTCACTGTGGAGGAGAAGGCTCCACAAATATCCCCATCCTCAATGATGGAAGAGCCCAGCACATCAGTACAAAAGATAAGGCTGAAGCATTCGCAGCAATCTTCAGCCAAAAGTGCCGAGTGGACCATCCATCTTGGTTGCCTCTAGTAGTCCCCAGAATCATAGATACCAGTCTGCAGCCAATTCAATTCACTCACGTGAGATCAAGAAACAGTTGGAAGCTCTAGATAGCCCAAAAGCTATGGGCTCTGGCAACTTGCCACTCTCCTAGCCAAGCTGTTCTAGTCCAGTTACAACACTGGCATCTATCCAACAATATGGAAAATTGTCCAGGACGCACAAGTAGGACAAATTCAACCCAGCCAATTACCACCCCAGCAGTCTACACTCCATCATTAATAAAGTGATGGAAGGTGTCATCAACGGTGTTATCCAACAGTAGCTGCTCAGCGGTGCCCAGTTTGGGTCCCATCAGGGTCACTCAGCTCCTGACCTCATTACAGCCTTGGTTCAAACATGGACAAAAGAGCTGAATTCCAGAGGTGAGTTGAGAGTGACAGCCACATTCAACCAAGTGTGGCATCAAGGAGTCCTGGCAAAACTGGAATCAATGGGTGTCAGGGAGAAAACTCTCTGCTGGTTGGAGTCATACCTGACACATAGGAAGATGGTTGTGGCATTTGGACATTAGTTATCTCAGCACCAGGTCATCTCTGCAGGAGTCTCTAGAAATAACCATCTTCAGCTGCTTCATTGATGACCTTCACTCATAAGGTTAGAATGGGAATGTTTGCCGATGATTGCACAATGTTCAGCACTATTCACAACTTCTCAGATACTGAAGCAGTCCATGTCCAAATGCAACAACATCTGGGCATGGGCTGTCAAGTGGCAAGTAATGTTTGTACCACACAAATGCCAGGCAATGACCATCTCCAATAAGAGAAAATCTAACATTCAATAGTGTTGCCATCACTGAATTCCTCACAATCCACATTTTGGTGTTATCATTGACCAGAAACGTAACTGGACTTGCCATATAAACACAGTGGCTACGTGAACAGGTCAGTGGCTAGGAATATTGCAGCGAGTAACTCACCTCCTGACTCCTCAAAGCCTGTCCATCATCTACAGTTCACAAGTTAGGAGTGTGATGGAATACTCCCCACTTGCCTGGATGGGTGCAGCTCCAACAACACTCAAAAAGCTTGACACCATCCAGGACAAAGCAGCTCGCTTTTTAGTACCACATCCGCACACATCCAGTCACTCCACCACTGACGCTTAGTAGCAGCGGTGTGTACTATCTACAAGATGCACTGCAGAAATTCACCGAGGATCCTTAGACAGCACCTTCCAAATCCACGACCTCTTCCATCTGGAAGGCCAAGGGCAGCAGATACATGGGAACACTACCTCCTGCAAGTTCCCCTTCAAGCCACTCACCATCCTGATTTGGAAATATATTGCTGTTCCTTCTGTGTCGCTGGGTCAGAATACTGGAATTCCCTCTCTAAGGGCATTGTGGGTCAATGTGGACTGCAGTGGTTCAAGAGGGCAGCTCACTACCACCTTCTCAAGAGCAATTAGAGATGCGCTATAAATGCTGGACCAGGCAACGATACCCACGTCCCATGATGGATTTTTAAAAAAAAACTATCCTGGACCTCTGGAGATTTTGAATGTCAGTTTCCTCATACTTTTCTTTTCCCTTGACATAGTTCCATTACTCTCTGTCCAGTTATAATCCGGGATCTCCTCCTACGTTTTTGCACTCAGTTCCTAAACTGTTACTTCTGGTTTCACTCGGACCTATCCATAACCCACATGTGTCAGGAACAAAAACAGAAGTTGCTGGAAAAGCTTGCCAGGTCTGGCAGCGTCTGTGAAGAAAAGTCTGTGTGTATACTGACAGTACCCAGTTCTACTACTTTAGACTCCCCAGCTGCCTATCAGTTTTCCCACACTTAATACTGGATATGTTAGTTTTCGTTATCTGAACTTGGGATGACCAGAGTTCAGCACCTAATCGCTAATTCTGTCTCCTTTGCAACTCAGTATCTGAGACATAATCATCCTGTTAACAAACTCTGTCTATTTGAGCCAAGCTTTCACCACCATGTTCTCCATCACCTCTCTGTCTCGGCTCATGTGCTGCAGAAACCCTCATCTTTACCTTTACCTCCAGACTCGACTACTCCAATATAGCTCTGACCAGCCTTCCACCTTCCATTCTAATCTATTACCTTATGGGTCCCAAGTTGTGTTTACTTCAGTGTGCACTGACCTAGGTTAGCTCCTAGTCCACCGAAGCCTTGATATTAAAATTCTCTCTCCCTATCTCTGTGCCCTTCTCATCCTGCCTGCCTGCATGCATAGGGATCAGATGGCCTACTGCAGTTCTAACTCAAGATTTTTGTGCTTCTCCAATTCTTTGCCTTTTGAATAACTCCTGCTCCCTTCTTTGCACTGTTGGTGGCCATGATTTCAGCTGTTGCCTTTGCAGTTTTCTTTTCAAAGACATCTGCACTCTCCCTTCCCCCCCACCTCAGTCCTTTGAAGCACTCCTTAAAATCTACTGATTTGGACAGCCTTATAGTCCTAAAAGTTCTGTTTGGCTCACTATCTGTATTTGTCTGATTACTTTCCTGGGCTGCATATTCTAACCATTTTCATATAGGAAAAGTTTGAGCTTTCATTTTAATTTTCATAATTTCATGGGTTAAAAAATTAAACCCCCTTGTGTTCAGTCTTGATACAACAGCTCTGATTGGAGAAGGGACTGAAACCTCCAGTGATCTCCTGCTAGCACAGATGTTGCAGATGGAGTTTGACCGAGAATATGATGCGCAACTTCGCCGCGAGGAAAATAAATTTAATGGTGACAGCAAAGGTGGGAGCTCACGTACCTTGGTTTTCACTGTGTTAGCCTGTTTAATCTATTGTAATCATTTTGACACCTTCTGGAAATAAAAACATTAATATGAAGTGCATGGTGTGTATAGCAGAGAGATCATTCAGCCCACTGATCAATGCTGATATTTATTCTCCATTATCTCCTTTCTGTTCCTCTCATCCCACGTCATATACCTCTATTCCTTTGTCACTTGTGTACTATGTTTATCTCAAGCCCTCCCTGTGCTAGGGAGTTCCTCACTCTGCCCGCCCTCTGTGTTATGATGTTTCTACCGACTGCCTTATTCAAGACATTATAAGTTTGTTGATTGATTTATTTTCCCTCCTACTCGAAGGGCAACAGGAAAAGCCAATGGCCTAGTGATATTATCGCTGGACTGTTGATCCAGGGACCCGGATAACATTCTGGGGACCCAGGTTCGAATCCCACCACAGCAGATGGTGGAATTTGAATTCAATAAAATATCTGGAATTAAGAGTCTAATGGAGAACATGAATCCATTGTTGATTGTCGAAAAACCTATCTGGTTCACTAACGTCGTTTAGGGAAGGAAACTGCCATCCTTACCTGGTCTGGCCTACATGTGACTCCAGACCCACAGCCATGTGGTTGACTCTGAACTGCCCTCTGGGCAATTAGGGATGGGCAATAAATGCTGCCTAGCCAGCGATGCCCTCATCCTGTGAATGAATAAAGAAAAAAAAAAGTAGATAGTTTTGAGACAAAAAGCAAAGTAACCAAGGATACTGGAAGGTTGAGAATGTACAGCATAGAAACAGGCTCAACTGGTCCATGCTGCTGTTTATATTCCATACCAGCTCATCAATATATCCTTTTATTCCCTTCTTGCTTGTGTAGATCTTCCCCTTAAATGCATGTGTGCCATTCACCTTAACCACTGCCATGAGTTTACAATATGCCAGTTATGTGAGGAAGCGCTTGTTGTTCACATCAGCTTAAGCCAACCAGGCTGAATGCTGTGCTGCTGGGTTTTGACTCTGCAACTCTGAAGCAATTCTTCCGCACTGTACAATGACCTGCAGAAATTGCCTGTCTCTTCCCTTTACAGGTACTAACAGAACTCTACTAATTCAGTTTTGTTTGTGTACTTTGTGGAATATGATACTTGCATTCCTGAAGTAGTATTTCACATACTGGATAAATCTGCCATTTTGATAGTGAACAGTCACAATTTAACTCCAGATTTCAATTTCTTTGGTTTACTGGAGGAATGTGATTTATTATAACTAAGTATTAATATTGTTTTAGAAAGTTTCAGTTTGTACTCTCCAAAGCTGCAGTGACAACAGCTTCCAAGCCGACAGCCTCCACTATCTGAATATACAATAGCAACAGATACGTGGAAACACTACCACTAGCAAGCACCCCCCCCTCCATGCCCTACAATATCTATATTTGGAATTATATTGCCATACCTTTAGTGTCACTGGGTCAATTACCTGGAAATCTCTCCCTTATGGTATTGTTGCTGTCCCTACACCCTTAAGTTACTTCAAGGAAGTAGCTTATTCTGCTCTCCATGGCAATTAGACCAGCAATTCTCTCATCCCATGAATGAGAAAAATTGCTGATGTACTGCAAAGAAATTGAGACCATTTATTCCTATAGTTGCAAGCTATTTTTTAATCTCCCTGAGAAGATAAACGGGGATGATAGTTGAAACTTGGGATGTTCTTTATTGAAGTACTAAGCTGCGTCATTTAGAAAACAATACTGGCTTTAAGAGATTCAGAAAATGGATCAGTGTCGTTATTCGTTGGGGTGTCAAGATGCTCCTTATAGTGTGTCATTGCCCCTGTAAAGAATAAAACTTCTGTAAATGTGTAGTAATATGAATACTAAATTATTCCAACATTTTTTCTAAAAACCTCACTGGCTGGCACATCAAAACTCAGTGTTGGAGGTGGGGACGCTGAACAGCAGGAATCATAAGGAAGAGTTTATTTAAATAGACTCTCTAAACTATATCAAACAGACCTCATCTTCACAACTACAGCATAGTCTCTTGATTAATCAGGATTTTTTCCTTAGCCTCAATAATGGAACATAGTAATGTATAGAAATGATGTGAAATTAATTCCACTTACAGCATTGTAGTTGTCATTAGTGGTAGGGTTTATGGTATTTGCTTAGAAAATATAAGGTTTATTGCTGTCTCTTTTGTTCAGTATCTATTTCATTTGAGAATTATCGAATGGTTCATCCTTATGAAGACAGTGAAAGCTCAGATGATGAAGTCGATTGGCAGGATACACGGCATGATCCCTATGGACCTGGTAATGTCTCCATTGATGTGACTGAGCTTTCTTGATGTTTCTGACTATATTAATTTAGTCCTGACCTTCTGTGCTTTTTATGTGTCACGTGATATTGATTCAGGAAGACTACCTGGGGACATTGCTCATAGAATCCCAATAGTATGGAAACAGGCCACGGCCCAACAAGTCCACACCGTCCCTCCATAGAGCACCCCACCCAGGTCCATCCCCCTACCATTTCCTATGGCCTATCCTCCTAGCCTGCAAATCTTTGGACTGTGGGAGGAAACTGGGCACCCGGTGGAAACCCACGCAGACACAGGGAGAATACGCCAACTCTACACAGGCAGCTGCCTGAGGGTGGAGTTGAACTTGGGTCCCTGTGAGGCAGCAGTGTTAACCACTGAGCCACTGTGCTGCCCTTCTGCTTTGCTATTTGATAAATCCTTTAAGAAATCATAATTGTCTGACGTTGCCCACAGAGTGAGAAAGAATAGAATGAAAATATTTTGTAGCAACAGCATTTTGAGTTCAGGTTTTAATCTTTCCAGCAAAAGCGTCTGCGGGTGTTGTTAAACCAGTTATTTCACTTGTGTTTTTACGGAGGGAATCTTGCTGTTATTACGCTGTCTGAGCCTATACCTATCTCACGGGAACAGGAGCAGGCCAGTCAGCCCCTCGAGCCTGGTCCACCATTCAGTATGATCATGGCTAAGCTGTAGCTTAACTCCATGTACCTGCCTTTGGTCCATATCCCTTAATACCTTTGCTTAACAGAAATGTATGTATTCAAAGTTTTGGCAAAGATTTATAGCTCTGGTTGTGGGTGAGGTTATTGACTTGCTCGCCGAGCTGGCTTGTTCTCGTTCAGACGTTTCGTCACCATGGTAGGTGACTTCATCAGTGGACCCTCCGATGAAGCAGTGTTATTCTGCTGCGCTTGGAAGTTACACTGTCTGATCCGTTATGGTGAGCAGTGTCATTACTCACTCACTCACATGACACTACTCACCATAACAGATCAGAATGTAACTTCCAAGTGGAGTAGAATAACACTACTTCATCAGAGGGTCCACTGATGATGTCACCTGGCATGGTGACGAAACGTCTGAACGAGAACAAGCCAGCTCAGCGAGCTGGCAACAACCTCAGGAGTGCAGGTATCTCAGGTCTAAAACTAATAACTGATCTAGCATCCACTGCCAATTGTGGAAGAGAGTTTCAAACCTCTACTGCCCTTTGTGTATTGAAGTGTTTCCTAACATCTCTCCTGAACGGTCTGGCTGTAATTCTCAGACTATGTCCCCTTGTTCTCGACTCCCCAACAAATGGAAATAGTTTAGCTTTATCTACCCTATATTTTCCTGTTAATATATTTGATAAGATTACCCTTTAAACTTCTAAATTCTAGGGAAAACAGTGAGGTCTAACCAGGGACTTGTATGGTTGAGGCATAACTTCTATATTCTTATACTCCAGTCCAGTTGATATAAAGGCCAGTATTCCTATGTGAGTATGTAAGGTCAGCTCTTAATTGTTCTTAGTTGTTCTCCGAATTGGCCGTCAGTTTTAGGGTTGACCAATAAATGCTGTCCTTGTTAGCAATACTCACATCTCAAGAATGATTTTGTTTTTATATCCCAGCTGCGCTAGCTGTTTGAAAAGGTTGGCTTCTCATTCCAGTGGTGTTTTAAATGTTCCCTTTTTTAAAAAAAAGTCAGTCTGTGAATCTAGTTCCCTTTTAAAAGATTTCGCTGGCTGAGGGGGTCAGCTGTGACTTAGTGGATAGGTCTGCTGCCTGAGTCACAAGGATCTGGGTGAAGTCATATTTCTTTGCTTGAGTGCAAATGTCCAGCTGACACTGCAGGAGTGTGGTACTGGCAGATCTTTCAGATAAGACATTAAACCTAGGCACCACACAGTTGTCATGTTGCCACAAGTTAGATATGTTTCAATTTTGATGCAAGAGCCTAGAATGAGTTTTTTTTTAAATTTTAATTAAGGCTTTTTCTTGTCTATCTTTATTTTCTGAAATAATATGTAAGGTCATGAAATGTGTGTGTCAGCAGATAAACCCTCACCAATTGCAAAACGAGGATTTGTGGGAAAGGGCAAAGAGATTACTACCAAGCACGATGAAGTGACCTGTGGCAGAAGGAATACTGCACGAATGGAAAATGTAAACATTTCTGTTTCTTTGTATTTCTAGTGTCGTTACGAATTTATATTAGGGGTAGGGTAGGAGTGGTGGTGTTTACCTTTGTTTAAATGCTTGTTTCTACCTGTGAGTAATGGATACTGATGAACTTATGAAAAATAGCGTTAAGCATTAACCACTTGCTTATCCCTCTTATAAATGGAATCATTCCTTTTCCTAAACTGCAAAGGAAATCAAGGTGCATTGGTCTTGTGCTGAAGGTATGTTGTAGGTAGTAATGGATAAACAGATGTGTGATTCTTGGTAGCAATAAATACTGTCAGACACTCACCTCACAGGAACAAATTATAAAAGTTTAACAGCTCAAAATGTGTTTGTGTTCACAGTTTGCTCCAGGGTTCCAGGTGGGCGATGGCATCGGGATGGATTTGAAGCTACCTAATCGTGTCTTCAATGCGCTGAAGCAGTATTCTTATTCTGAACAGCGGCGCAGCGCTAGAATTCATGAAACAAAAGAACATTCTACTTCTGTACGTCTCACTTTGTTAAATATGCCCTCCTACTTAGTGATATAATGTAGCAGGAGGCCAGTCAGCTCATCACAGCCATGCCAGCTAGTGAAAAGAGCCATCTAGTTTGTCCTATTGCCCTCCTCCTTTCTCTATAACCTTGAGAATTTTTCCCCTGCCAGTATTTACCCAGTTCTCTCTTTTGAAAGTGATTTGTTAAATCTGCTTCTCGTCCCCAACCAGTTCTTCTGATGATCCTTCAGTTCCACATCTTCCTGTCTCTGGGAGCAGAGTAATGGATGAGAAGCTATCAGGAAATCAGAGTGCCCAGTGTGGGTTTGATGGAAATGTTGACATTCTCTCTCCTACCTGGTCTTTGTTGAAATGACTGGTTCTCAAAATTAGTTTAAAATCAGCAGCTGGTGATTTATAATAAAAGCAAAGTGCTGTGGATGCTGGAAATCTGAAATAAAAGCAGTGCTGGAGAGTTTCAGCAGGTCTGGCAGCATCTGTGGAGAGAGAGTTAATGTTTTGAGTCTGGTATGAATCCTTCAGAACTGAAATGGTTGGAAAATTATGATTTTTATGCTTGTGACAGTGGGAGGAGCAAGTGGAGCAAATGGTGAGGGCACCCAGAGCAAAAGGCAAAGGCAGTGATACTGGTGAGAAAGGAGTAATAGAGTAAATGAAGGAGCATAATGGGCCTATGATGTTTATTCTCTCCACCACTCATCCCCTACCCTGCCAACATCCAAACCTAGACTAGAGATAGGAAGAACTGCCGATGCTTGAATCAGAGATAACATAGTGTGGAGCTGGAGGAACACAGCGGGCCAGGCAGCATCAGAGGCTTTTCTGCTGCCTGGCCTGCTGTGTTCCTCCAAACCCAGACTAGACTTGTATGTGCTTTGTTCACTTTGCTTACTTTGCTTTCAGCCAAGAAATTTCATTTTCACCCTTTCATACCTTAATTTACACCTGTTTTACTCCTCTATTTTGCTTTCACCATAATTGGCCACTGTCATTTGCACTCAGTACCAACTCCTCCCATGGTTTGTCCTCTGCCTCTGTCAAAGTGTTACAAACCACCATTTCCGGACCCTTTTCAATTCTGAAGAAGTCGTACCCAGCTTGAAGCATTAACTCTGTTTCTGTCTCCACAGATGCTGCTAGTCCATGCTGAGTTTCTCCAGCATTCTGTTTGTGACAAACATAATTGTCTTTATTTTTGCTTGCCAGTGAGCTGGACAAATTCTGTTTTCACGTTTTTCTTACTGTTTCAGGACCAAGCCATAGACTCAAAAACTCGCTTGCTTCTGTACAAAATGGTGAATGCGGGGGTGTTGGAAAGCATCAATGGTTGTATCAGCACAGGCAAAGAATCTGTGATCTTCCACGCTAATGGCGGAAGGTATGTATCCATCCAAACACACAACTTCTCCCATCCCTGGCCAGCACCCCACTGCAATTCCACCTATCAGAAATTGAGTTGGAAAAGCGAAGACAGTGAGTGGGTCAACTTCTTTAAAAGGTGTATTTACAGGGCAGAATTGTAGAATTCGGACCACTATCAGATCAGTCTTGGTCTCATCGAATGAAGGAGAAGGCTCGAGGGCCAAATGGACAACTCCTAATAATAAATAGTCATTTGTGATTATGTTGAGAATCTAAACTAGGGGCTATAAATGTAAAGTGATCTGTAATAAATTCCAATAGAAATTTCTTTAACCAGTGAATGTGGAACTAGTTATCATAGAGAGAGTGGTTGATTTTATCCTTTTGAGGAATTCGGGAGTCGCTGGCAATGCCAGCATTTTTTTGCCCATTCATAATTGCTCTGGAACTGAATGCCTTGTTGGGCCATTTCAGAAGACAGTCAAGAGTCAGCCACATTGCTGTGGGTCTGTTATCACACGTAGGCCAGACAGGGTAAAGATGGCAGATTTTTCTCCCTAAAGGACATTCGTGAATTGGGTGGATTCATTTGCCAATTGATGATCCATCACTCGTACTAAATACCATCTGCTGCCATGTCCCCAGAACATTAGAGACTTGGGATTACTGTCCAGTGACATTACTGCTATGCCATTGCCTCCCCTTATTTAGTTCCTTAGTTGGGGGTACATGTGTTCCATCTAACTGCTGAAGGTCCTTGTAAATTTAGGAAGTGTATGCTGACCATTGATCATTTTGCTAACAATAAACAGAATTACTAAATTACTTCAGTTGTTTCTATTACATGCCAAATGATCAAGTTGATTCACACTGACTAACTCCAAATTGGAATTAATATTTGCACAAATTTGTTGTGGTTTCTCTGTCTCTCTTTCTGAAGCATGGATGAGAAAATGGTCCCTGCAGAATGTGCCATTAAAGTTTTTAAGACTACGCTTAATGAATTCAAAAACCGTGATAAGTACATCAAGGATGATTACAGATTCAAAGACCGCTTTAGCCATTTGAATCCTCGCAAAATCATTCGTATGTGGGCTGAGAAAGAAATGCATAATTTGATCAGGTACTGTCTCTTTCCTTTGAATTGAAAGATTAATCTGAATTTTGAGATGCCAGAAAGTCTTGTATATTTTCATTTTGTATCATGCTGTTGCATACTTACTTACTTTAAAATTCTGTCTGTTTGTTACAAGAGAAAATTGCAGTGGTATAGAGTTGTGGCTGAGGTTTGTGAGCTGCATCAATAACTGCATCCACCCTTAGCTTAGTGGAATGGCTGGTTGTAGACCTGGCTCATGTGGGAGGGTTTGGGATGCCCAGACTGTTTGCAGTTAGGTTCTAACATACACCTGCAGCATAATATTAAATGGGAGACCCCTTATTTTTAAACAACGCCTCCTCATTCTAGGCTTCTGCGCAAGGTGAAACATCCTCTCAACATCCAATCTGTTAAGTCCTGTTAGAATCTTATGTTTCAAAAGACCACCTCTCATTCTTCTAAATTCCAGTGAGCATTGGTCCTATCTGGTTGTCGTCTTTTCATCAGACGATGTTTTTAAACTAGGAATCGTCTGAGTTTTTAAATATTTATTTAGTGTGTGGTTGCAGAGCTAAACAATAGCCTTGTCAGTGGCTTAATGGTATTTCTTCAGCTTGAAGGCAGGCTTAGTCAGTGAATGATGCTTAACAATGTGAGTCATTGTTCATACTGAACTGCAGCTGTAATTGGATGGTTTTGATTACCTCAGTGATCCATAGGGTCCAGAATCGATAGGGTCATCAATGAGAAAAGTTGTTTTGGGTGGATGTTGCCTTGCCAGACCCCTCGCTGCTAGTCCTCGGGTGTTACTCCTTGGTATGGTAGTTTTCACCATCTGGGTGATGTGAGGGAGGGTGTACTGCTGGTGGATTGAGGAGGTCATCAAGGACAAGCTTAGATTGGAGTAGGCCTTTTCCAGAAGCTTGCTTGTTGTAGTTCCTTACTGACAGGGAGGACTTGGGATATGGGTCAGTCCCATGTACCTATCCATGCTCTGAGTTCATTGGCCTTACCAGTCAGACCTCTTGCATTGAGATAGATGCAATTTAATCCAACAGGATTCCTCACTCCCTGTCATATTCCAGCCTGACCTGTCTCTTCAGCTTGCTATTTCTGATTGTTGTATCTCCTTTTGCACTTGCCTCCCTTCTGTTGACGATCTCACCCCCCTACCAATCTAGTTTAAACCCTCCCTTGTAGCACTAACAAATCTGCCTGTCTGGATATTGATGCAACCTGTCCCTCTTGAGCAGGTCACCTCTGCCACAGAAAAGATCCCAATGATCCAGGAGTCTGAATCTCTTCCCTCCCCCCACATCAGTTCTTTGCCACGCATTCATCTGCCACATCTTCCTGTTCTTACCCTCACTAGCACGTGGCATTGGAAGTAATCCAGAGAATACCAGTGTCGAGGTCCTGGTTTTTAACTTCTTTCCTAGCTCTCTAGAATCACTCTGCAGAACCTCATCCCTATTTCTACCTATGCCAATGTGCACAATGACTTCTCGCTGCTCACCCTCCCCCTTGAGAGTGTTCTGCAGCTGCTCAAAGACATCCTGGACCATGGCACCTGGAAAGCAACACACCATCCTGAATTCCTTTTTGCGGCCACAGAATCTCCTGTCTGTCCCCCTAATTATCAAGTCCTCTATCACTAAGGTCCTGTTTACCTTTACCTTTTCCCGCTGTGCCCCAGAGCCAGTTGTAGTACTGCCGACTTGGCTACCGGTGCTTTCCCCTGAACGGTTATTCCCTCCGCCCCACCCTCGGCAGTATCCAAAACGGCATACTTGTTTTCAAAGGGAATGGCCACATGGGATTCCTGCACACTCTGCTGCTCCCTTTGCCTTTCCTGGTGGTCACCCGGCTATTCTCTGCCTGCACCTTAGGTGTGACCATTTCACTTAGACTCTTATCAAAGATGCGCTCAGCATCTCGGATAATCCTAAGTGCATCCAGCTTCCTAACACTGTCTCCCAGGTACTGAGCTGGGTGCACTTCCCACAGGTGTAGTCATCGGAGATGATGGAAGTCTCCCTGAGCTCCCACATCCTGTAGGACGAGCATGCCACTGCCCTAACTGCCATCTCAAATGCTCTAAGACTAAAGAGGAAAGTTAAAAGGACTGTTACCTGAGCTAACCTGTACTTTTTACTGCGCCGCTGCTCACCGAAGCGCCTCGAGCCAACGCCTTACTACTTACTCTGCTACCAACAAATTTTCCAATAGCACGTGTCTCTCTCCCCGCTTTTGTTTTTGGTTAGAGGAGGAGGGAGGGAAACACCACAGTGATGTAATGTTTGGGTCAATGATGTGGAGGTGCCGGTGTTGGACTGGGTTGGACAAGGTCAAAAATCGCATGACACCAGGTTATAGTCCAACAGGTTTAATTGAACACACAAGCTTTTGGTGTGTTGCCTCTTTGTCAGGTATAATGAGAGAGGAAGTATCAAGACACCGAATTTATAAGTAAAAGATCAAAGGATTATAGAACTGATGTGAATGTTATTAATACATTCGCATCAGTTGCATAATCCTTTGTTCTTTTACATAATGTTTGGGGCTAAAGCACTCCTTGATACCAGGCCCATGATAATCTGCTTTTCCATGCTGGTGAGTGCTTCCAGGCTCAAATGTATGTGCTGGTGATGCCTCTCCCCCTCAGACGCCTGAGTTGGGGGAAATGAGTAGCTGTGATGATGAGCATTGATGATTTGCAGATTTGAAGACCATAAGATGTAATAACAGAATAGCCATTCAGCCCATCGAGTCTGCACTGCCATTCAATTAGACCATGGCTGATCTGATAATCCATAATCCACATTCCACCTTGCTGCCTTTTCTCCATAACCCTTCATTTCCTTCCTGATTAAAAATCTATCTCAGCCTTGAATATATTTAACAACCCAGCCTTGATAGCTTTCTTGCGTAAAGAATTTCAGATTCACTATCCTGTGTGAGAAGAAATTCATCCTCGTCTGTCAAATCTCATCCTTGTTCTGAAGTCTGTGTTTCTCTCTCCACAGATGCTACCAGACCTACCGAGTTTCTTCAGCATTTTCTGTGCTTGTTTCAGACTTCCAGCATTGCAGTATTTAGCTTTTACTGGAGGTCGGATATATGATAATTTTGAGACCGTGAAAGAGTTAAGCGGTATGGTGCTATGGTCATGTGTACGTGTGGTTCTGTTTTGCTCCTGTGAAACACTTTTTGAGGGTATTTCCTTTGCTAAAGATGCTATATGAATGCAAGGTGTTGATATGGCAGTTATGTATTTCACTGTGATTTGTTTTTCTGCAGAATGCAGGAAGCTAGAATTTGTTGTCCAGAGGTGGTTATGCTTAAGAAGCACATTCTGGTGATGTCCTTCATTGGTCAGGACCATGTGCCAGCTCCTAAATTGAAGGATGCTAAACTCAGCTCTGAAGATATGAAGCGGGCTTACTACCAGGTTTTGGATGTAAGTAATTTCTCCTCTGCAAATGCTCACTTTACAGTATACAAATGCTCTACTGTTTTTAATTGTTCTGGAACTGTTTTGGTAATGGTGGGGGTGTGTGCCCAAAAGTCAAACCTGGATACATTGACAATGTCTGGGCCTTGGGGATGTTTGACTGGGTCTATGTGTGCGCAGGTGGGTTAGTCTGTCTCTGGGAGAGGGTACAGTTTGGATGCCTGTGTTGGGTGGTGCAGGAGAGGAGGTCATGGAGTATCTGCCTGTGCGGGATTGTGGAAGGTATGGCCTTGTGTGGGGTGGGATCTCTGCCTGTTTGGATGGGGTTGTGCTGGCGGCAGTGGGTCCTGTAAGGGACACACACTATTTGACAGCCAATGTACTGACGTCCAGTTTTGAAAGTCAGTGCCACTCATGGTACCTCGGAGGTCTGTGCAGAAGAAACAAAATTTCAGGGAACGCCAATAGCCAGTGGGGGGGGGTTGGGTGGCGGCGGGGGGGGGGAGGGGGAGGGGG